GGCATAAGAGTGTCTGATTTTGGTATACTCATGTCGCATTTTGGCATAATCATTCATATCATGAGGAAAAGTAAGTTTACTTCCACACAAGGTACTTGTTCCTTGTCTTGAATGTAATTGTACCCATGTAACTAACCATGTTTCATTAGAAGTATGCTGGGATATGTCGGGCTCGTTCCAGACATTATGTAAACAATACATCTCACAGAATCTCTTCCACATTGCATTCCAAAGGAGGTTGATTTATGCAATGTAATTCTTAGTAGTTTGTGTGTTATCTATTTTAGGAAACCTTCTACAGAAGTGGGAAAGTACCTCTTGTGGAATTCGGCTGGAAATGGTGAGGCAAAACGTCTTGACAAACAGAATCTATTACCTTAGAGGCAAAGCGCAGTTTGAAAGTCAATATCAGTGTAGTAGACTAAATGTCTGAGTATAAATTGTGTACAAATGAGACAAGAGCTAGATGGACTTCAGGTTTTAGGAAAGATCCCTTATAAAAAAAACAACCATTTTTTCCGAAATTCAATGGTTTCATTGCATATCATGTAACCATCATTTCAACCTTGAAGATCAAAGGAAAAATCTTTTATATCAACCATTCAAAACCATTGCGCAACCATTACTTCACCCAATCTTTTCAACCCTTTTTACATAAAGTTGCAATGGTTACGCAACCATTTTTGAGAAACCATTGCAAAACCATTACAACCATTACCCATTGAAATTAACAGTTACAATTGATTGCAACCATTGATGGAGAACTGCAACTATTGCAACCATTAATCCTCAAAATGAATGCTCATGGGCAGACCTGTAGCCAGCTTTTGCACTTTTGACAAATTTACAAGGGGATTCATATTTTATAACTATGGCCAAAAATTGGCCAAAATCGCTTGAAAAGTCCTCAATATGGTGAAAAACTGCATGAATTTGAAATAATTTTTGGCTATGGCTATGTTGATATTATTAGTATGTTTTTTTTTTAAGTAAGCATGTCTGTAGTCTGCAGTCTATCACACTCTTCTCTCATTAAAGAATTTTTTTTGGACTTTGTGTGTCTCGGATCTTGTTCTCAATGACAAGTCTGACGTCACTACCAGAACAACAAAAAACATACACTTATTTGTATATATCATTTAATCTAATACCTAGGATTTTAAACACTTATTTCTATGACTATAGCAATCACTTATCGGGTATCGTTTTTAAGGAGAATGAAAAATGCAGAAATCTTTTAAGAAAATAAGGATTCTTTTTTGTTTCAATTCAATATTGTTTAATTTTGCTGGTTTATTATCATTAAGAAAATTGTAGAAATACAAATTAAGATTTCACATTATTGAATTCAGATAAGGTACAAAGACAGAGCAGCAACAGTTGCACAGACAGAGCGGCAACGGTTGAAATGCTAATTATAACCATTGAAAAGCTAATTATAACCATTGAAATGCTAATTATAACCCTTGAACAGCCAATTAGATAAAGTTCTGTTTTGATAGTTTAACAAAATCATTACAAATTAATTCTTTTTTTAAGAATTATTTTTGTCTGAATAATTTATTTTTGAATTCCCCCTACCATAATAATGACACAATCATAGTAAATTAGATGAAATTCACATTAAGATTTTTGAAGCCAGCTATGGTCTTGATGAATTCTCTTTTTTCTAGCGATAGTTAACTTAAGTTCATAATACAATTTTGAGACATATCCAACTTCAAGTTCATGCTCATAGGCATAAAACCATGTCTAGTAATATAAGTTATTGAATGATTTGAAGTGCAATACAGGATATATTCTGTTCGAGAAATTTTGTATTGGAACGAGACGAAGTCGAGTGCCAATACAGAATATCGAGACAGAATACATCCTGTATTGCACTTCAAATCATTCAATAACGTTTTTATCGTTTGATCCTCTGTATTGCTACTGAGATTGTCCCCTCCGTACCAATATTTTTTGTATTGCGACGGAGATGATCAACGGGGACAACCTCAGTAGCAATACAGATTGGTACAGCACAAGAACTGACCAATCAGAAGGCTTCATTTTATAGATCATACGATAAAAGGAAATATCATCTATTCAAGTGTTTAAGATATTTCCCTTTCAGTCATTATGATTAAAGTTTAATCCAATAGTAATTAATATTTTTGATTTGTAAATGATATTGAAGAAAAGACAATCTATCCGGCTCTTGCCTAATCCAAAGCATAAATACAAGGATGTTGATGTTTCAAAATCATGTTTTGGAAACATTTTCAGTTTAATCTACTTAATTGTTGTAATAAGACTACTTTGATATTGAAGAAGCAGTTATTTTGGCACTAGCTTAATCCAAATCATAAATAAGAGGCAGGAAATACAGGCTTTGATGTTTCATAATATGTATGTATGTACTTTTAGTCAGAAACATTTTTTTGTTGAGACAGGAGAAAAACAGAAAATTTCCACAGAACGTTTTGTTGTATTGTTCACTAAAACTGAATGAATCAAGAAGGAATTTCCAAATAAACTACAAGAATGACCAGGGCCAAAAATGAATACACTTGATTCTCTTCAATAAAATAGAAATACTATCTCTATGAACATGAACTTGAAGTAATATTCAGTACCAAAAATGAATAAACCTTATTCTTTATAGAAATAATATGCCTATGAGAATGAACTTGAAGTCATATCCAGTGCCAAAAATGAATAAACCTTATTCTCTTCGAAATAATATGCCCATAAACATGAACTACTGTATTTTGAAACATGATAATGCATTCAATTTACTTGTATGTTCTTCATGTTTCAAATTGTCTCATTCTTAAACTAAATAATTTCCACAATATGGTTGAAAATAGTTGCAACCATTTGGTAAAATGCAACTTAAACAATCAATGGATTGTAATGGTTGCAAATGATTCCATAATTTCAATGATATGCAACCAAATTTTAATGGTTGCAATGTAATGGTTGGAAACCATTTCAATTGGTTGCAGCAATGGTTATGCAATGATTTGTAATGGTTGCGCAATGGATTTTAACGGTTGAAATTCGGAAAAAATGGTTGTTTTTTTCCTAAGGGATAAGAGCAGGTTAGAGAGGACAAGATAGAAAAGTAAGATGGGTTTGGAAAGTGGAGGAAAGTTTAAGATCTGTGGAAATGGAATTATGTAGAACTTTGTACGATTTGGAAAAAAGAAAATAAAGTGAAGAAGAAAATTAAATAAAGTCTCGGCCTTTATGTTTAGGAACTTTAGATCCGTTTACCGATAAGGAACACCAATGACATTGATCATAAAAGACTTTAAGTAATAATGGACATTTGGTCAAGAAGAACATGCTCATTTAAATTAACGGACAGAGCCTACCATAACATATGCCCATTGGTGTCTAGCGGAATGATTTTATAGTACATAGAAGAAATATAAGAAATTATATAATAATAAGAAGAAATTACAAAATAAATAGAATTGAATTGTTCTTGCATATTGTGCAAGAACAATTTAATAATGCTTTGCCTTTGCAATTTGTCGTAAGGACATTTATCTAGTCGTCCTGCAACTGGTATTTAAGTTATTAAAATGAGATTTTGTCATGAAAGTGGTGGTCATTTTGAATTGAGCACTGAGCAGCCATCTTAAAAATTCTGTCTGAGCACAGTCCTTTGTCCCTTAAGTATGAGCATATAAATTTGAAGCAAAACTATTAACTGGTAGTAATCAAAGATTATATTTTTATGAAAAATGTGCCGAACACCGTCCACAAAAAATTGGAGACTCGTGGTGGTGACATTAAAATTAAATTGGTTTCATGAAAAACTGCTGCCTTTTTGAAATTCAGTTGCCATATTGGAAATGCCTTCTTGAGCAGAGGTCCTTTGCCCATAAGACATTAGCCTCAAAATTTTGGACAGGGTTTAGGTTTTCATATACATTTAATTTTGGTCCAAACTTTTTATATTGCACTGATTTTTTTACAAATTACATTACATGAAGTGGAGACCTCTTTGGGGATATTATCCACGAAAATTTACTTGTCTTTCTATTGGTTCAAATGTTGGTTCCTTAGGGGAGGCATCAAAAGTTCGATGTCGGATAGAAAACTAAATAAATCTAGTTAGGGGGAGGGGGTTCAAACCCATTTCAGTTTGCTATCCGACAAATTTCAACATTTCAAATTTTTGGCAATTTCGACTCAGAATGCCTTCAGAATGGTTTAAAAATAAAGATTTTACCTGATGCTTTCTTTGTCAAGATCATTCCAATGGATTCTATTCTATCAATAGTTGTTAAAAGCCGCAAATTACGATAGGAATTAACAAAAAAACTAGATCGCGTTTAGCAATAATTTTTCAAATTCTCGAACCGAAAGTCAGCGATCAACTTTCATGGTATTTAGTTTTGGGGGAGGGGGGGGGGGGTCTGAGTCAAAACTTGATTTATTTAGTTTCCGATCCGACTTCGAACATTTGATGCCTTCCCTTATGGGATCCAACATTTACTTCCATTTAGAGGAGGTTTAGGAAGTCCAGTTAGATTTAATTTGATATCATCTTTAATTTGTTCTTTACTGGTTCATCTATTTGGAAATTCTTCAGTATCATCTCATAAAATCGTCTTTAGAACAGTTTTAACATTAAATAACCATTGTATTGATTTACTGTATAAGATTGGATTTTAATATTAAAGAATAAACTTTTATGACTTTTACTTGAGTTTTATGTTAGTTTATAACCCGGAATAAACTGTTTCACATGGGCCATTTTTGAGTTCAGTGAAAGTTTATGAAAATTTGATTTTTGGCAGAGTTCATATCCCTTAGCATTAAAAATTTAAATTAATTGGTCAACTGCTATCTAAGTTGTTAAATTTTTATGAAAAATGGCAGCTATTTTAAATTAAGCAGCCATATTGAAAATTATTTTTTGAGCGATGAAGAAGCATCCCTGAAAATTTCAAACCTACGTTATTTTATTTAAAATGCACAATGTATTATGATGATTGTACCTGCAAACTTGTTTTCTTGTTAGACAACATGCTCTCAATATTCTTGCCCATCTCTTCAAAATCAGAGTCCTCGCCAGAATCTGACTCATCATCAGTGGACAACACCTCCTCTGACTGTAGCACCCTGCAAAATACATATGCATATAAATCAAATAAAAAGGAAAGATTGAACTTGAAAAATCTGAAAAGTAGATTAAACTGCAATAGTCCTTTAATCAGGCAAGATATTATTAAACACTGTACATGTAAAACAGCATACGAAGCATTTATTTATTACTGATTGAGACAGAACATACGGTCTACCATACCTGTTCTGTAAGTCAAATATTCTCTGGCATTCCTCCTTGTATCTTTCCTGATGTTCGGCTATAGAGAACCTGTTGCCTCTAGCAAACTTAGTCATGCCAGCTGAAATGTAGGGAGAACAAAGACATGATATACTAGCTCATAGATGTTACAACAAGTTTCTCATCCTAAGAAAAACTAATTGCCAAAAGCTTATTACATGTAATAATATTTTGTTAAGCAAGAATTCCACCCAAATGATCCCACCAAACAGGACTTTCCATAATATTCAGAATCTTACATGAATCAGAGTCATTTTGGAAATTGATTTCATGCAAAGTTATTTCTCAAAATGCACATTATATATATATTTATCCTATACTTAGTAGTGTTAAAGTCCCCGTCTAAAGTTTGAAAATATTTTTTTATCATTGACATTTACTATTTGTCAGGACTTAACAAGGCACAGGACGTGAACGAGATCACACCATCAAATAGGCAGACACTATGAACCAGGAAAACTGTTCTCCTATTATGTTTACAAATTTCAAGAACAAGAAAACAAGATGGCCAGCTCTAGTACTTGATATCCTCTATCATGTGTGTAAATTTGAAGGAAATCCGATGAACGGATTTTCTGAAATGGCGATGACAAGATTTTTCGAAAAATCTTCAAAATGGCTGCCAGAAAACAAGATGGCAGCCCAAAAGTTAATCAGCTCTAGTACTTGATATCCTCTATCATTTGTGTAAATTTGAAGGAAATCCAATGAGCGGTTTTCCTGAAATGGCGATGACAAGATTTTTCGAAAAACCTTCAAAATGGCCACCAGAAAACAAGATGGCCACCCAAAAGTTAATCAGCTCTAGTACTTCATATGCTCTATCATCTCTGCAAATTTGGAGAAAATCTGATGAGCAGTTTTCCTTAAACGGCGATGACAAAAAGCGGGATCACGATCACGACCACGATCACGACCACGACCAGTATGACGACTATATCCCACCGATGGTGTGATCAAAAGTGATTTAAGAGATTTTTGAACAAAAAACATTTTTTGAAGGTTGAAATTTCTTAATCATCAAATATTTCTTAATGCATTTCAAAAAAGATTATCTTTTCAACACCAATGCAAAGATTGAACAAAGGACACACTATTTCAATAATAAAATGCCAACTTTACATGGGGCCTTTAAGGGTAAATAACATATGGGGATATAATCGATATCTGAGGTGAGCGGGTGATATATACAGGGTGGTCAAAAAATGGCAACCCTAGTTTTTCCTAATATCTTTATCATTCTAAGAATTAACTCCCTGATATTTTACACATTTGTACATCATTCAATTTCCTACCAACTTACCATATTTCATGATCATGGGACTGATAGTCACAATATTACTGCATTTTAAGCAACATACCCCAGATGGCCACTTTTGGGCTGTCTGAGCTGGTCTGTTATTCAAATGAACTCCATTTCCAACTTGATGCACTGGTAAACTCTAACAACTATGTATTCTTGGGGAGCCAACCACTTGATGAAGTAGTGGAGAGACACCTTCACACAGATAGATGCACAGTTTAGTGTGTTCTTAGAAGATAGGGTCCTTTACCTTTGACGATACCAATGGATATGCAATAACTGTCAACATCAAACTCTATTTTGTGATTCCCATGGAGTTCTTGGGGACTTTAGGTGAACCCAGGGGGGTTAATAGGCAGCAACAGTGGTTCCAACAAGACAGAACCATACCCCATACACCCAATGATGCACAATAATGGCTTTGGGACCACTTCAATGACCACATTATCAGCAGTACAACAGACAATGAATGGGCACCCCATAGTACAGATATGGCCCCATTTAATCTTTACCAGTGGGGATACCCCAATGATAGAGTGTAGGGTAATAACACTAGAAAGACATTTGACCTCAAAATAAAGATCACATGTGTCCTTCAGGCCATACTTCCTGAGGAATGCAGTTGTGTCATTGACAGGTTTGGAAAATATGTGCAGGCTTGCCCACAGCACGATATTGGAAAACTGGGGCACCTTGTTTAAAGTGCTGTAACATTGCGACTATCAGTCGAATGGTCATGAAATAATGCAGTCTAGTATGAAATTGAATGATGTACATGTGTGCCAAATATCAGGGCAAAATTTCTAAAAGTGACAAAGATATGAGGCAAAATTAGGGTTGCCGTTTTTTACCACCCTGTATACCACCCGCTCACCAGCAATACCCGGGAATTTCGTTTGTTGCTTTTTGGCACTATTGGTGAGATATTAATTCCCTATACTGTTAAATATCTAAAGCAGTTGAGTTTAAAAAGCAATAAATGTCAGGGGCGGAGCCAGCTTTCAGTCAGGAGGGGGTGGGTTGTGATTGCCAAAATTCTTTTTGCTTTTCAGTCATGACATAAACAAGGCAAAAAATTGGAATACATTGTATTAAGGTTTTTTTGAATTTTACAAAATTGATGCAACTTCCTTCAAAACTGACCTAGAAGCTTCAAATAAAAAGCATTTTAAAGCTTTTATTGGTTATGGGGGGGGGGGGGGGGGTGATCTCATCCACCTCACCTCCCCTGGCTACACCTATGAATGTTAAGAACTTCAAATTGAGATGAAACATTCATCTTTTCTTTTGATTGTTATTATCATTTGGAATTATTACATTAGGGTTCTATAAGATTCAATGCATACTTATTCCTCATTATCTACTAAGTATAGGATAAATCAGTTATTAAATGCTCAATTTTTGATACAGGATATATCCCTCAGTAAATATAATATATCAACCCTCTGTCCCTTACGGTCCCTCGGGTAGATATATTGTATTTCCCTCAGATATAACCTGTATCAAAAACCTCCCATTAAATAACCTCTTTATATCAGATCAAAAGTATTCTAGTTTTTACTGAAAATCAAGGCAATTTTGAATCGAGCAGCCACATTGACACTTTATTTGCATAATTTCCAAAATACAAATTAAAAACAATACTAAACAAAGTAGCCCACGTCTTATTTTTCATATGGTAATTTTTACAGATACTGTAGTAATATAATAGGAAGAGTTCAAATCTCAGAAGAAAGTTATTTTCAAAAACTTATGTGCAATACTTGGCAACAATTTCAAATAAAATAGTAGCATGGGTACTGGGCCCACATGATATAGCTCAAAAAGAGACAAAACTTTAAAAAACAGCCCCCTTAACATTTACCCAGGATGCACAAAATTTAATCAGTTCTAAACTTCACATCAAAAATTTCAGTAATTCCATCAAAGGAGCATGTAGGTGATCACAAACAATTTCAGATGATTCTAACTTGAATTATGAATATTTTCTGATAATGAACATGGATGTATCTTTTAGACCCATTCATTATCTTCAAGAAAAGTATATACAAAGGTAACTAGACAACACCAACGCCAAAGCGTAGCAAATCCCATCAAACAGCCATGGCTGGCATATTTACAAACAAAGTATATAGCAAAAATGGTACCCATTTTTCAAAATGGCCACCTTCTACCAAAAGTATCATTAGACAGTGTGCCATGCTTATAGTAATGTACATTGGTTAATTTCGCAAGTTTTAATTTCTCAGCTAATAACAAATTCAATGGTATTTAATCTACAATTTCACGACGATAAATTTTTGCGATTTTAAAACACTCGCAAAAAAGCGCAAAACTCAATCGCAATCGAAAAATATCGGGCGTACAGTATTCACATACCAAATATGAACAAAATCGCTCCACTACTTTTCAAGTTATAGTAAAATACGTTAAAATGGCGGCCAATTTTCAAAATGGCCACCTTCTACAAAAAGTGTCATTAGACAGTGTGCCATGCTTTATATAGTATTCACATACCAAATATGAACAAAATCGCTCCACTACTTTTCGAGTTATAGTAAAATATGTTAAAATTGCGGCCAATTTTCAAAATAGCTGCCTTCTAACAAAAGTGTCATAAGACAGTGTGCCATGCTTATAATAGTATTCACATACAAAATATGAACAAAATCCGCTATTTTTCGAGTAACAGCAAAAATCGTAAAATAACGAGTAAAGGCCGTCATTTTTCAAGATGGCTGCAATGTGCTTCATTAATATCTACATTTCTAACTTTATTAATGTCCTATATAATTTCTTTGCATTTAAAACATATTGCTATGACATTCTTACATATTGTACCTAAATTACTGTAAAATCGGCACTAAAATGGCCACCATTTTTAAATGAGTGGCCATTTTGAAAATCCACTTTTGAGCAGAATTTCTATTCCCATAGGGTATATGTATACAAAATATGAACAAAATCAAGCCAACAGTATTTGAGTTATTGCCTGAATGGACGGACATACGTACGTACGTACGGACGGACAGACGGACGGAGCATTCCCTATATCCCTCTGAACTTCGTTCGATGGGATAATAATTCTAATTTGCAGATTTCTCTCATAAATCATTCGATCTGTCATTGTTTGCAAGATTAGACAAGAACACAAATGTGTATAAAATGTCCCCACCAATGGGTGATCCTGTCAAATGGTTATCCTGAAAATGAGTAGACAAGACTTACCAACACGATTTGAGGACGGAAAAATCAAAATATCACCAGCCAATAATGAAAAATAACAAACATTAAACACTGACACCATTATATGCCAAATGCCAATCACCAAAAATGGTAGTCACTACCAGTTTTAGTTCAAATTATTTTAAGTCCATATAAAAATAACTACTATAGGATAAATATGATATCCTATGATTTTCTCGAGCTATCATTTTTATCCACTCTTGGATATCGCCGATCTCCACTTATTCGCTGCGCTCACTCATGGAGATGGGCAATATCCACTCATGGATAAAAATGGTATCCCTCAAAAATCATAGGATATCCTCTATTTATCCGATGGATACTAATTATATATGGGGATAATAACACAAAATAATTTTGGTATGCGCCACTTAAAATATATCCGATCCATATGACGTGATATCCAATTGTATCCGACAGATATTATTTAAAAAATATTATGAAAAAAAATTGAGGACCTACCTTCTTGGCCTGCCTTAGCTTGCTCAGTAGACATTGTACGTACAACATCAATAACTTCCCATCTTGAGAGCTTCTTGATCTCTCCCTCAGGAACTCCAAACTTGCGCAGTAGGTTCTTGGCATCCTTCAGGGAAAGCCTCCTCAGATCGGCATCTGTCCCTGTCACTGTTTTCTTGACGGGAGTCTTTTCAAGCTCCTGGTCCTGGCCCTTTAAATATAACATTACGGTATTACATTAGAGGGATCTTCTCAAGAGCTTAGTGCTGGTCCTACAGGCATAATATTATGGTATAACAAAATGGGGGTCTTCTCAAGCTCCTAGTCCTTGCCAAAAACACATATTGTATCACAAAACAGGAGTCCTATCAAGCTCTTAGTCCTGGCCCTACACAATAAAATTGTGGTTTTACATTACAGGGGTCTTCTCAATAGATGTGTATTAGCATCCTACTATCACTCTAGTATAAACATTTATTAATGCACAAGATTGCCAACTCACCTCAATTCAATTCACTTTATTTCAAATGTTTTAGATACAATATTTTACCATGTGGGGTGTATTAGTTCCATGTTAACATACAATATATCATTTACTAAATTGACAGTCAGGTTATATGGAAACTGAAAATGACAAAGCATAAAATACATAAATAAAAATAAATAAATGAAAACAACAGGCAAAATTAATGGAAATCATAAATTTAACATGGAAAATTGAAAATTCCCTAAAAAACAGGCAATTTTGTGAAAACAACCGGTGAAAATAGCCTGTTAATGCTGCTAATGAAACCCCTGCATCATAATAAAATACAAGTAATGAGAAGAAAGCATTTTACAAAGTAGATATAATTATGACAAGCAAATCAAACTTGAACTTTCGTTCAAATGATTTGATATGTTTAGACTTTTTGAGATCAAGTGAAAGATCAAGTAAAGTAATGGGCTACTTATTTCAATTGATTTTCTTCCAATTTCTGTTCTGAATTTTTTCATAGTTATTGATTCTTGTATCATGATTATGAATTGCTGTTCCTGGAATGATTAAATGTTTAAATGTTTTCTATACAAAGCTAGCAGTTTGTAGTTTATTTATGTCAAATATATTCAATATTTTCAATTTTGAAAAGAGAAGTCCTGAAGGAGCTAGACGATCAGAATATGTGATAACTCTTATCACTTATTAACTCACCTTCCCAGCATTAGGTTTGTTGGGAACTTTAACAAATGAGAATCCCTCCCCACAGCCAGTAGGGTCCGCCACACCTGTTAGTTGTAAGAGACACTTGCCCTTCAAGGCAGCTATGTAGGCCCTGGTGGTGTTCCAGGGTGCTGTGCGCACCTCATCTTCTATCTTGTTCTGCAACACATATACTGTACATAAAACAATCAAATTCATCAGCTCAGTGGAGCATGTTGCAATAGTTTACGCATGTGTATTTTTTATATATTTTCTCAGCAATTTTGTTTTATTGTTGATATGAAACCCAAACTGTTTTATTATTATTATACCTTGGTTACCGCCATATTTGGCGAGCAATACCTCATTGGTATATTCTGTATTTATGTATTTTACACTCGAAGATAGAGCCAGAAACCCCTCCTTGGAGGAGCCATGTGTTCTTTTATGTGCACAGGTACACAGACATACAGGTACACACCACAGCCTTTTATACGAGTCGTGAACCACTCAGTCAAACACCCAGAATTACATAACGCACAAACAAACTTGTCTGAACCGGGAATCGAACCCGGGGCCAAGCGATATTGGTAACCTTGACTCTCTCTGCCACTGAGCCATAGCGGGTGGACTGTTATTGTTACCAAATTGCAATATTCTCATTTAGGTTAAGTCTACCATTGTCCATACTTTGACATCATTATCACTAGAAAAAAAAACAGCAACTCCACATAGTAGCAAATTCCACCACACAAAACATATTTTGATAATTAGTGGCCATCTTGAAAATTTCTTCTTGACAAAACATATTAGCATATAAACTTTGAACCAAATCTGGATCTACTTGTATTTGAGTTATCAAAGATTATGTTTTTTCTCAGAAAAATGCTTGCCATTTTAAAAGTGAGCAGCCATCTTGAAAATTTCTTCTGAAGCAGAGCTCCTCTGTCCCTACATGGCAGTATATAAAATTCGAACTAAATCCGTCAATGGGTATTTGAGTTATAAAAGATTATGTTTTTTGAAAAATCGCAGCCATTTTGAAATTTGGCTGCCATTCTTAAACATTTCTTTGTCCCTAGGTAACATCATATAAAATTTGAACCAAATCCATCGACTGGTATTTGAGTTACCAGATCACGGGAACATGTAAAACGTTGCAATCTGAACTTGGAAAGCTGACCCAGAATACGAACTCTATACAGGGCAATCTAGCATCTATCACACGTATTGTAACTAGCTCTAAACCTTCCGACCTTGTTAATTCCAGTGCACCCCCTAAACAAACTCAACAGGTAATGGCTAATTTTGCCAAATCTTCTATAACGGAATTGAATGCTAGTAAGCCGCTGAGTACGCCAAATGACCCAGACGTCCCGGATTATACCGACGGGTCAAATAATGTAAACAATAACATTAGACCTGAATCGACCCAGGTCAGTGCAACCCCAGCTGCTGATGCCAGCCGCAGTCGAACTGATCTTCATATGGATACCCCTGGCACATCGCAAAATGCCATTTTGCCACATACACTGCTGCCCTCCCAATGTTCCGCAGATCAGCATGGTTGTAATAAACTGAATGGTGAACCCTCTAAACAACGTAGAAGCTCGACACCTCGAAGCAGTCCCCAGAAATTGACGTATACGAGAACGCAAACCCCCACGCCCCCCAGACCACCTAGATCGAATCTTAACCTGAATACGCCCCAGGGGTCAAGTGGGCAGGTGACCTATGGCGTGACGGACACCGGTGTATGGCGCGGTCCACCTCCAACGGATCGCGGAATATGGAAGGGCCCCGACCCACCTGGCAAGGAATGGCAAACGTGGCTCGGAAATAATCAGCTTCGGCGAAAGAAGGCGGCGGCGAAACAAAAGGAATATGTCAACACGGTCCCCACAAGACCCGATACAACACGTGACAACGCCAGCACACGACCCAGAAGCAGTGGCCTAAGAGGAATTGAGTATGAGGAAGTGAGGGTACTTTATTTAGAAAATATTTATCAATCAAGTGAGGAGGACGACGAGGATACAATCAATAATGTGAAACGTTTTGCAGTGGATAATAATATTAGATTGAAACAAATACATGTTGTGCATAACCGGATTTCTTGTGACAAAGTTGGATGTAAAATAACGATACCTAAACACCAGGTAGACAGGGCTTTGTGTGTTGACTTGTGGCCCGTTCCTATTAGATGTAGGGAATGGGAACGTCGGAGACGACGTTATGTTGACAACGATGACAGAAGTGACGTTGATTTGAGGCCGAGATACAACTTTTAACTATGTGTTTCACCTTCAAGATTATTCTCTTATTGCATCTACTCTTTGTTGTCACTTTAATACAGTTAATGGTATCAATATCGCAATGGAACATAAATGGTCTGAATTCATCGGAGGTGTACCTGAGAGATCTTCTTAGATCGAGTGATATAGTTGCTGTTTCAGAGCACCGTTTATTTGAATGTAACCTTAATAAATTGAGCTCTGTAGACTCTGATTTTAATACTCTTGCTTTTAGCTGTAAATCACTTGACTCAATGCAATGCGGGCTAACATGGGGACATGGAGGCATAGCCTTATTGTGGCGAAAATCTTTAAAATATCCCGTGTCACCGATTAGAAAATTCTGCACTGATAGAATCGCATGTATTAAGGTTGAAACAAATGTACCAATTTATGTATTTTCTGTATATCTGCCACAAGTAGGTTGCAAAAATGATATTTTTGAGGATGTTTTGAATTTTCTCGAAGAGTGTGTAAACCAATGCAAACGAGATGCAAATTGTATTATTGCTGGTGATTTTAATGCCAATTTAGGCAATTTATATGAAACGCGACGGTCTACTGGTAAACATAGTTTTAATGGTCTTTTGTTGTTTCAAATGTTGCAACGCAACGGATTAGTAGCCGTTGATATGCAAAATAGTTCACAAGGTCCATGTCATACATATGAAACTGCCACTGGGCACAGAACTTATATAGACCATATTGTACTGTCTGAATCTTTATTAGAACATGTAATTAGCTGTGATGTATTGGTTAGCGCTCACACTGCAGATTTTGGTCATTTGGCGATTAGGAGTGTGATTGACCTGCCATCTTTAAAACATGTATTTAATTCAGCGCCTAATTGTGTAATGAAAATTTATGCTTGGAATAGGGTGACTAAAAATGACATTACAGAATTGTTTACGTGTCCAATGCAAACTGATTTAAAACATTTAATTAACGAAATATCAACCTCTAGCAATACTGACAGTGATACCATAGATAACTACATTGATAGGTTAATCAAATTAATCAATTGTAGAGCCGATATAGTTATTCCACTTAAAAAATTCATGAAACATCAGAAACCTTTTTGGAACAGCCATTTAACTCGCCTGAAGAAACAACAGAAACGGGCTTGGCATGTTTGGGTGAATGCAGGGAGACCGAGGGATGTTATGGATACCACAAGAAAGATTTACAAGGACTCAAAGAGGATATTCCGGGCGGCTTTTAACAAATACAAGGTCGAGTACGAGCACAAAAAGTTAAATGAATTATACGAACTTGACGAAATGGACCAACGAACATTCTGGTATCTTTTGAATAAAAGTCGACAGTGTAAAAGTAAATCAACAGGCGCTGTTAGAGCGGACAATGGGGAAATTATAATGGATCCCTCTGCAGTTTGTAATGAATGGCAATCATATTTTTGTAAGTTGGCTTCATTTGACCATAGGGATATTTTTGATAATCATTTTGAAAACGAGGTTGTTTCTGACATGAATATGATGAAAATGAATTCTGTATTTAATAAAGATGGTATTTTAGACACTGATTTTACGACTGAGGAAGTTAATAAGTGTATTTTAAAATTGAATAATAATAGAGCTGCCGGTCACGATGGTTTAAATGCTGAACACATTAAATATGGTGGCCCATGTATGACTACTTTTCTAACACTGCTTTTTAACGTTATTCGTGTTAGTGAATATATTCCAGAAAACTTTTGTACAGGAATTCTTATTCCTCTTTTAAAGTCAGGTAACAAAGATTGCCTTAACAAAGACCACCACAGAGGTATAACGTTAATGAGTATTTTAAGGAAACTATTTGATAATATTGTACTTGCTAGGATGCTCCCAAGGCTCAGAAATGCTATCCCTCAACTTCAAGGTGCTTCAGTCGAAAAGTGTTCTTCACTTCACACATCTTTTTTGCTTCAGGAAGTCATATCACATAATGTTAAAGAAGGAGTATTTTTGGCGTTAATGGACATTCGGAAAGCCTTCGATGGTACCTGGATTGATGGGCTGTTCTGGAAACTGTACCAAACCGGAATTAATGGACTTGCTTGGCGTATCTTATATCAGTCATATTGCAAATATAAATGTAGAGTTCTTGTAAATGGTGTAATGAATTCTGAATCTTTCTACGTGCGTAGGGGAGTCCACCAAGGCGGGGTCTGCAGTATGCATCTCTACCAATTCTTCATTGCCGACCTCTTAAATGACTTAATAGACAGTAATTGTATTGCAAAGATTGGGGGACACCCTGTAGGCTGCCCTGCATACGCCGATGATCTCGCGCTAATAACTACTGAACCAGAATATATGAATAGACTACTTAAGGTTGCACATGAATACAGCAGACGTTGGCGGTTTGAATTCCACCCAGATAAATGTGTAATAATGACTTATGGTCCAGCTAAAAGGACATTGTATGATTTCAAACTCGGGACAGCATCCCTTAAAACTGTTCAGACAGCTCAACACGTTGGAATCCCTCTTGGTAAAACAAAAGATCATGTGAAAAGTGCAATATCTGCAGCAAGAAGGAAATACTGTTCACTATTAGGGCTGGGAAATGGGTGCGGTGGCATTCACCCACTATTAGCTTCAAAGTTATACTGGTCCTTCGCTTATCCAACTATGACCTATGGATGTGCTGTAATACCATACTCAGAAGATGACATCAAACTGATGGAATCCGCGCATAGAGAGATTGGCAAGCGAATACAGTCATTACCTAAGAATACACCAGATCCCGTAGCAACCAGACTACTTGGCTGGATGCCAGTACAAGCGAAGATCGATTGCGATAGGCTTATGTTCTTATTTATGCTGTTATCTTTGCCCATGAATTGTATATATAAAATCATATGTTTGGAGAGCCTAATTCGAATGATGTACACAAATGTAACCTGTAAACACATGAAGTCCCCCATTTATTACATGTGGGAAACGGTTCTTAAGTATAACCTTACTGACATTGTGAATGAAATGGTTTTTAATGCTAAATATCCAAGTAAACTGAATTTTAGATATACTATTTATAAGAGAGTCAAAGATTTTAATACTCGTACCACTGTGCTATCGACATTGATGTACAAGAGTTTAAATATGATGGCAGGTTCTTTGTTGGAATTTAAGCCAAATGTTTGGTGGATTATTGCTAAAAATAACCCCAATTTTGTGTACTGTACTAAGATTATGATCAAATTATTAACTGGAACGTATGATTTAAATAGTAGACGTCGCGAGGGTGATACATCTGTATGTAAGACATGTGTGCTCTGTGAGCTCAATGAAAATGAAACTGTGAAACATTTCTTATTAAAGTGTCCGGCTCTTTCTGGAGTCAGGGAACCCATGATTAACATTGCAATGACCAATCTGAATGTTCAAGATGACAATTTTATTCTTAAGGTAATACTTGGTATAGTATGTTGTGACAATGAGAAACTATTATCCATATCACAGAAAGTGTACATAATGCATAAGCAGAGACAACTGCTGTTAAAAAATGTCTAATTACTGTACATTACCTACTCTTTATTAATCTTTGTCTGATGCTTTTACTTTTTAATTTTTTTGTATAAATTTGTGAATGTAACTCTCTTGTTATTAAGAGGCAAATAAATTATACATACATACATACAAAGATTACATTTTTAACAACTAATGCCTGCCATTTTGATAAATACAGTAGGTGCCATCTCAAAAATATTTTCTTGAGCAAACTTCATCTCTTGCATCTTGAAAATTTCTTCTTGGGCAGAGGTCTTTTGCCGATTGGTAGCAGTCAAATTTGAACGAAATCGATCCACTGGTATTTATCAAAAGTAACATTTTTTACGAAAAATGGTGGCCATTTTGAAATTCAACTGTCATCTTGAAAATTTCTCCTCGAAAAACGTTCCTTTGTCTCTTGGAAACAGCATTTAAAATTTGAACCATTTATCCGTCCACTAATATTTGAGTTACTGCTAATACACTTAATTTGGCTTCCATTTTAATTTGACGGATTGGCGGATTGGAAAATCTGCCAAATTAAAAGTCCGCCAATTTTAATTTTAATCAAATCCGTCATCTGGTATTTGAGTTATCACCCTGACGGACAGATTCTCTAAATCCCCCTCGAACTTAGTTCAATGAGATAACAATGGATTTAGGAATTTTGGAAGCTAAAAGTGTTAAAATGTACCTCAGAGACATATAAGATTTTATAAAATATCCATTTCTTTCTATCAATCAATTTAAAATTGCCCTAAATAATCATAAGTGCCAATCACATACCTGGTTGTCATCATCATTTTCATCATCAGGAGTGAAGAGTGATTTTTCACCATATCCTGCATCTTTCAGTCTCTGCTCTGCAGCCAGCATGGAGTAGTAGCCACAGCATTGTTCTGGGGACACCATGGCTCTCATTTCCTCTTCTGTGGGCAATCTAAAGTCTGGCTTTAAAACCCACCAGTTGGAGTCCATACCTAAACACATCAAAAACAACAACATACTCTCTTCATCCAGCATAAAATTGTTCATCCAAACATAACAAGGCATTAACATGACCAAATGTCACCACCTAGTACATGTAGCTCATACTATTTGAAGAAGATTTTGAAAATAAAATTGGTCAATTTAAAGCCAGTTCAAAAAAGACCTTTTTGACCTTTTTACATTGAGAAAGTCAAATCTCAAATCTAAGTCAGATTTAAAATTCTGAGCACTTGTAGATGAGTTTGAAAAAATAATGAACAATTTGAAACAGTTAAACAAGACCTTTTTGACCTTATTTTGACCCTAAGAGGGTCATTGAAGGTCAAATCTTAAATATTAAGTCAGATTTGAACTTCTGAGATATTGTAGATGATTTTGAAAAAAAATTTGGAGTAAGTTGAAAATAGACCTTTTTGACCTTTTTATGAACTTCTGAGAACTTGTACATGATTTCAAAAAAATTGAAGTCAGTCTAAACAGTATTTGTTAAGTTATTGGAAGTTTTTACAATTTGTTACAGACCCTTGACGCCAACCGCTGCCTGCCAACCATCATTACAGAAATACAGTCAAAGATGCAAAATATGATAATTCAAATAAGTGATAATTCTTCTATTTCATTCATTTCCATACCCCTCTATAGATTGCAATATTGACTGCTTGTCCTGTGCCAAAAACCTGACAATTATTTTTACCTGTTCTTTTGAAGTCAGCACATAATTTCAGTCTCTTTCTGATACTGCTCTCAGAGTGTGATGGGAAAGCTTTCTTGATATCTTCCATCTTGATACGACGTACACTGTCTTTGTTTTTCCAGAATAGTCGGTATATGAACACCTGCAACAGTTGACCAATTAAACATAAGACTGTATCTGATAAAGGGTAGGTATCGATGTGGTGAACTAAATTCAACAATGTTTTTCTCTTAAACCAATTATTGAAAACATTCTGTAAAAAACACGGTCCTTCATGTAATGTTGACTGATTGACAACAATTTAATGTGAAAATCATTTATTATTTTAACTGTTTTTGTTAAAAAATTTTGTGTTTAGTGCAACTGTTTTTTGCTCCTTTCTACCAATTCTTGAGAATGAAATAAAATCTTTTATTTCATTACACAAGATACTTTTTTAAAATCAACCGAACTTTCTTTTGTACAATTACAATATTGAGAGACCTAAACACATTGTGTTTATGTCATTTTGTTCCGGTGAAGTTGGGAAAGATGTTTCATTTCATTCCAAACATATGATACCAAGAAAAAAAGAAGTGTCTGATGTGTTTTCTAAAACAATATAGAGAAAAGTATACTGTATAATTTCAAATTATAATGTTACCATCCAAAAGATGACCATTAAATTGACGATGTGTAACATTTTCAGAATGTTTTGAAGACTGGTTTAAAGTCCCCGATAAATCGGGCTACGTATACCGCCGTGTTTACATTAGGGGATTAGAAGAGTTTATTTTTTATTTAGGTATGCAAGCTACGTATATCAATATTAGGCCTTCATTCATGTACTCGTGTGCATGTAATCAGCATGCCCTTCAATATTATGTAAACCAGGCTATTCAAGTACTGTATAATGTACACTATTTATGTGTGTACTACATACAATACAATTCCCTGTGAAACAAAACACAAATACTTTTTATATGTTCAAAATGAGCCATTTGATTGATGCAAACACTAAATAGCTTCATAAATAACATCTACAAAGTATATCTAATTGTAATTTTCAATTTCAATGGTGAAACTTCCCTGGTTACGCATTATCTGGGAAATCATCACGAGACGAAGATCGTTCGCCTTCCTGGCTAACCTCTGAATCGTGTACCTGGTAATCTCTTTATATAGTTTAGCGAGAGCGGTGCGCCTGCGCAGTTTTAAACTTTGGCGCACACTTTAAGAGAAATGTGTTTTCAAAAAGTTCACCATATCGATACCACTCCTTTATATTTCTAAAGACAGAAATTAAATATGAAAACCTCTCCAGTTGGTAACTAACACAGACGTGTTAATGGGAACCTGGTATCTTCTCACCTGTAGAAAATCCCTGATAAAATTGTTAGCACGTTTGGAGTTGGGACCAGGCACCTCATGTAGGGGACACTCTTGTCCTATAGCAAATATACCATCAACCTCTCTTATATAATAACTGTTTCTTGTACGAACCACTAGGAAATCTGTATGTGGCATCTTATGTTCATAGATTGGTGCCCGGAATAGGTTATTCTCCGTGGCCTGTATGGATTCACCAGGGGAGAGACCCCCTAGAAATGGTGATGTGTGGGCATATGCTAATTCACCAAATTTAAACTCCTTAGGTGTATTGTCAGTGCCAGTCTTTCGTTTGTAATAGTTTTTTATTTTTGTTGCCATGCCAACTTGCATCATAAGGGGAGGGAATTCCTCTGAGTATTCACAGAGAATCAACTCTCCATCCATTCCTGTGAGATCCTGGGGAGTGCGCATGAAGAACATGTCTCCGCCTCCGCTCGCCAGTCTCTCCTGCTCACGAGTCTGAAATAGACACCTTGGCAATCAGAAAAAGTTATGTCAGCCATGTTTGTAATTTCATGTTTGTTCTGTCATGTTCATTACTTATTCTGTAAAAATGTGTCACATGAAAATTGCTCAAATTTGAACAGATATTTAAACATTTTCTCCCAAGAATTTCTGGAAAACCTAAAATGAAATAAGCCGCTTAAATATGAAAGAACTAGAATAATAGCAACTCCACAGAGTAGCAAATCCCATTGAACAAAACATATTTTATAAAATCTCTCATCATTTTGAACATAACATGATAGAAATAATCAGGCAGTAGTATTATTGTCTCCTTTAGGCAAATCTACACCCATGATGTGACATGATTTCATAATATAACAAATTCTTTCTTGACTAGAAGTCCTTGGCCATGGGAAGGGGGCATTAGCTTGTAAACTTTTGACCAAAATATGATAATGGTTTTTGCTCAACCATGATAAGCATTTATTAGTGCTATGATTATTTGCCCAAAAGATTGATATTTTTGTTACAGCGAATGAAAAGAAAGTATTTTCCCGGGCATCAAAAGAACAGTTTTAGACTCGGTTCTTTATGATCTGATGGTTCCAGTACAAACATGAGGCAAAAGATTGTGATTAACCAAACCAAAACGTACATGACTGAAAAAATGGTTTAATATTACTTGGTCACCTGAAAAACAAGCCTGTCAATAGTACTCTGTAATAGTTATAAATATCAGATATAGAGGTTCTTGTATGAATGCCTGTGCTGTTTAAAAGATCATTCATTCTTGACAAAAAAAATTTCCAGTCATATTTTTAATGAATATCAAGTCTTTTACAGGTACAAATACAAGAATGTTTCTCTCAAGTGACTCTGTTCTATTATGCAATACATTCATTTTTAAGACAAAATGTTAAACGTTGTTACAGTGATACTCATGGATACTCATTGCAACAGTGTTTATTAGAGGTGTCAAGGATACCTGATTTTGTCACAATAAAGGCTCTCAGTTTGGAAAACAGAACAAATATGCAATCTTTCGGTTCAGTTCCAGAACAAGAAAATCTTAACCTTTTCAGCTTCTTTGGCCTCAAAATTCTACAGAAATGGCAATTCTTTCCTATTCTTTGCAACAAAAGTTGGTCTTATTTCCACTCCTTCTCAATAAAGAGCTTAACATGATACTTCGAATCAATCCTCATTTTATGCGTACATAACGTATGAGGGGATTTCGAGCGGTCTGATTCTGAACCTGTTCTGTTAGTGATACATAACCTCACATAATCATGAATATTGCTACATAGTTCTTAAGGGATGAATATTGATTTATTTTTGTTTCCCTTTATTTCTGTATTCCCATAAGCTGACAAGATATCCAATCTTTACTAATAAGGCGCTAGATTTGTTGCAAATGAATACCCATTTAGATTAATTTATTATGAAATGATGCTTCCTTTTGTAGGGAACACATCTGTGGTGTCAAAAGACCTATGCATTCACTCTGTTCCAGGCCCTAGCTGAATTATTCCAATTGTTCTTGTTCCATAACACCTTTAATGTTTATGTTGCCATGTTGTTGTTTTATACAAACAAGTGATGTTACAAGAACATTTCATCTTAAGGATGAAAGATGGCTGTATCATTATGAGGTAAGGATGGTTGAATCTCAGGAAGTGATATGAGAAAATGATGATTCAGTATTTACCTTTGAATACAAACTACCTACTTTTGCTTTGCGTTTTATAGCTTTGGTAAGTGAGTGCACGGGATGTGGACCTGGCTGTACCAGCTGCCCATATGAGTACTTCTTGAGAGGGGGTCGGTGAAAGCTCCTTAGCTTGGTAGGCCCCATGTGTGTGGGGAAGAATGGCTGCCTCAGCTCTATGGCCGGGGTGGAGTGCTACAATACAAATACACATTTTACTTTTTTTATCACATGTCCCAATGACTGGCATGTTTCCTATTAAATTCTCAAAGATAAAGAGAGTAATTGTGAGTTGTCATTGAAAGATTGAGAGCTACCTGGATGAGTGTTGCCCCAATGTTTGTCCTCAGTGCATTCTCCTGTGTCAGCTTAGGGTTGTAGTACTCATCATTAGAGATATTGAAAGGATCTTTATTTGGCATCTCCTCCTCTTTCTCTTCCTCTTCATCCTCTTCCTTAATGAGGCCAGCCTTGTTGAGCAACATCTTGGACTTCTTCATCTCTTTCTCTTTCTTCGCTGGTTCATTTGTTCCATCGTTACTGGCATGTTTGTCATCAGGTATACCAAGTATGATATTCTCATCATTGGCATCCAGTGTAAGAATGGGGGGACTTGGAATTCTATCCATATTCTACAATTTAAAACCAAAACGATTTCTCAACAATTTAAGGAATAAAGACTGAAACTCACTAAACAAGACAGGGAAGGGACGTAAAACTATAGCCAGGGACAAAATATACAATTTACCATTAATGAAGCATCTGAGGTCTTTTTTTCATTCAAAAATGATAAAACAATCCAGGAAAAATCAATATGACAAGCTTTTTTCATTTGGTCAATCATCCAAATTGCAATAGATACCTTCACATTACTTATAATATTTTGTTTAAAAAGGTTCTAGCACGCAAAAATGCCTTGAAATCGTATTTTACTTATTGAAAATCAAAACCTCCATATGTCTTAAACAAGGCCTCAAACACACGCCCACCAATGGATAATCCTATATAGATTTATCATCCTTGAATGCACATCACTAATCAGTTGAAGAAACTGATTTTAGGACAAAAATCCCAAATTAACATTAACCCAGAATGCTAAAAAACTAAGCAGTTTGAGGTTTTCATACAAAGAATCATCCCTGCAAATTGCATGGCCCATTCAAACAGTTCACCAAGAAATATGTAGACAAGACTTTATAGAGAAGATTTTATGACAGAAAATCCAAAGTGGGCATTTTAAATTTACTTAGAATGCCAAATAAATACCTTCAAATAATTCAGTTGGGAGGCAAATACAAAATGGCTGCCTTAACATTTACCATTAGAAAAAAAAAAGTAATTATTCACTGGGAGGGATTTGATATTGGGAATCACAAGGATAATATCAATATTTCCAGAGGGAACATAGTGACCAACTGGCAGGGAAATATCTATATCATCTGAGGGATATACTCCATATCATCCTGACAAGTGAATAATGACCTTATACCATGGTCAAGAGCAATATCTAAATCAAAAAGCATCTGTTGGATGAGAAAACAATAAATCAATCTTGGAAATACATAACTGTCCTAAGAAATTATGACTTGAAATAATAGGGTAACAGAATTATAGAAATAACACTGTGACTGTCACTGTTCTTGGCTAGAATAGAAAAATCAATAATTGGTCTTTTCAACTTCTTGACCTTGGTTGATTTAGCCATGTTAATGCTGATGCAACCGCAAATGAAGTTTCAAAACATTTCCCCAGGAATATATACCCAGGCTAGGATGATATCAGAAGCATGATATGGGTATCAAACCAGATATCATCCTGCTAATTTCAATATCATCCCAATATTAGTCCCAATCTTAAATATGTGATTTATTACTTGGTGGTGTTATATACCTTATATTGCTCTGACCATGGTATAATGGTCAATATTATGCAACAGTGAAATAAGCAGTTACCTCAGCATCCCAGATGATGTCATCCTCCCAACATCCATATATTAGCTCCTGGTTCTCAGCAGGGAATATACTGTACCACTGCTTGTCAGTCTTAGGGAGGTCACCATCTGCAACAAGCATCATGTTATATGTCTAACTAGATCATGAAAGGGGTGAGAAAAAGATAAATGAGTGTAGCCATTCCTTTAATGCTAAACTACTGTAAAACTCATTGAACTTGCAAGAGCAATTCTCATTTTCATGGATTTGTATATCTGTTTCTTTTCCTCAGTATTTATGTTTTTGCGATAAACCACAAATAACAAAATCCCTTGGAATTTTTCAAAAGTGAATTGATGATAAGGTGAAACATGAATTTCCCCTTAAAGTCCCCATATAAAGTTTAAACCACTTTGGCTTATATTGTAGTCTTACCCCATGTTTTCAAAGTGTGATATGTGAAACTTTTTTTTTAAATTTCAAAAAGTGGTTTTTAATTAGCCACAATTCATACCAATGCATAGCACTTATCCTAGCATGTTTTTTGCCGAAAAAATTAAGAAAATCTGTTCATAAATAAGCAAGAAATGAACTTATCAGTGCATGAAAATGGTTCCGAGAAAAATGCATTTCAAGATTCTAGGTCTCATAGAAACCAATGGTACAATGATATCTAAAACATAATATATTCTTCCTTTTAACCTGGTTAGACAATCAACATTGGTTTATTATTGAAGTCTAGCATATTTAGAAAAGATTGACATCGAAAAAAAAATTTCAATATTGGGCACCAAATTTAGCGATTTTTGAGCTTTCAAAATGCCATAACTTCCGAATGGGAAAGGGGTGGTATCGATATGAAGAACTGAATTCAACAATGTTTTTCTCTTAAACCAATCATTGAAAACATTCTGTAAAAAACACGGTATCTTATGTAATGTTGACTGATTGACAACAATTTAATGCGAAAATTATTTAGAAATTGTTTTTGTTAACCATTTTTTTTTTTTTTTTAGTGCAATTGTTTTTGCTCCTTTCTACCAATTCTTGAGAATGAAATAAAATGTCTCTCCGAACCTTGTTGGAACAAAATAGCATATACAACATGTTTTTTAGACTTCTCAATATTATAGTTATATAAAGGAATTTTTGGTTGATTTTAAAAAAGAATTCAAAAAATTAAAACAAAATCCCCCAAAATAGATAAAAACCAAGATAAACCAAGACCTAAACATGTTGTGTTTATGTCGTTTTGTTCCAATGAGGTTCGGAAAGATGTTTCATTTCACTCTGGAAACATGATACCAAGAACAAAACAAGTGTTTGATGTGTTTTCTAAAACAATATAGATGAAAGTATATATATATTTTTCAAATTATATTGCTACTCTTCAAAAGATGACCATTAAATTGACAATATGTAAAATTTTCAGAACTTATTGATGACTGGTTTAAGAGAAACGTGTGTTCAAAAAGTTCGCCATATCGATAGCCATCTTTTGGTTTGCATATTCAGATTCCTGAGAAAATTCTACCCTTATTTCAAATTCATATGTTAAATTTTGAGAACTCTTTAGTTTGACCTACTTTCTGGATGCCTTATCTCAAAATAATCAAAATCGGTAATCAAAGTAATAAAAAAACAGATGGCACACTCTGGATTTGGCTTCTCTTAGCTACATAATGAGATGTACATCCAGGTGTTAAGATAAATAATGACAAGATAATTGACAGAATGTTAAAAATTTAAGATTTGACCAAGTTCTTGACCTTAGACCTTGATAAGAATTTGACCTAATTTCCCAGAAACTAGGTTGATGGGCTCTATTAACTATGTAAGTAGGTTAAAGTAAGCTCTTCCCGTTGCTGAGATAAAGTGTTGACATTGGAAATTGAACAAGTTCAATTTCTGACTCCAGATTTAGACTTTCGTGGCATCCACAATAAGCTGAGTCACCCAGAATAAGCCGAGTCATTCAGAATAAGCCGAGTCTTCAAGAATAAGCCAAGTCATCCAGAAAAAGCCGAGTCATTCAGAATAAGCCGAGTCTTCAAGAATAAGCCGAGTCATCCAGAAAAAGATGGATGGATGAATGGATTGAATAGGAAGGAAGGATAGGATAGAATAGGAAGGAAAAATAGGGTAGAATAGGATAAGAGGGATAGGATAAGATAGGATAGGAAGCAAGAATAACATAGGAAGGATAGGAAAGGATAGAAAGGAAGGATAGATAGAAAGGATATGATAGAATAGGAAGGAACAAGAGGATAGAATAGGAAAGAAGGATAGGATAGGATAGGAAGCAAGAATAAGATAGAAAGGATAGGAAAGGATAGAAAGGAAGGATAGGATAGGAGCAGACAGGATAGGAAGGTTGGATGGATTTTTCAATATTTCTTTGCTACTCTTGACTTTCTATCAGGATACCATCAGATTGATTTTACTCAAAATTTCAAAACGCCATTACTTCGGAACCGGAAGTAAGAGCGATATTTGGTTTGCAGATTCGGATTCCTGACAAAATGCTACCCCTAATTCATAACTCATACGTTGAATTTGGAGAACTTCTTGTTCTGACCTACATTTTGGCGGCCATATCGGTAATATTTCAAAAACTCCCATAATACACTGAGAGTCTCTAATGGTATACCGAGATTGCTATGGTCAGAATTAACATTCATTATAGCTTTTAAATCATCACTTTAAGCGAATATACAAGAATTCAAGGGTAAGTCAACATGACAATTTTCATTTGATAATTCTAAGTATCACAAGCCAACATATTGCATTAAAATAGATCTAAACATTAGCAAATAATGTGCAGAAGCTATAGCAACACAAGAAATATTTGGGCATAGCTTTCCTTTAATTTACCATGCCTGATAGTTTTTTTGTTTAATTTTTAATATCATGGTAAAACTAGAAATCAGCAACTCAACGGAGCAGCAAATCCCAACGAATGCCATTTCATGAATCTGTATATGTCACAATGTAATGTTTACCACCTACTCTACCCTTAATTAAATTGGCAGATATTAAGACATGTATTAGAGATATATCAGAATTTCCAAATAAAGCATTTTGGGTGACTTATGAGTTTCAAAGGAACAAATCAAAAAAGACACTATAATATAGTATTTAACCATACTTTAAAGAGATCTCTAAATAATATCAAATTCTTGCTCAAGGCAGCCATTTTGAATTCTCTGAAGCACAAATCAGAAGAACAACACCATAATTATGATGTACTCTAAAATTCCTTTAATTTAGGTAGAATATAGCCATACTTTATAGAGATCAGAAATGTATTGCGAGATTCCACATAAAGTGGCGATTTTGAATTACACAAGGCCTGAATTAAAAACATTATACAAAATTTGGAATCTACTCTAAATTGCCTTTCATTTGAGCATAATAAAGCTATACTTCAGAAAGATCTCAAAATTCCTGTTTTCCTAACTGCCATACACAGCCCCTGGGGGTCAGGCTAGAAAAACATGGATAATATGTGAAATAGATAGATGTTGTGAATATACTACCAAAATTTCAAACAACAATATTCATTACTTTAAAATGAATAACTTAAGATTTTTACAAAAATTCCTGCCATTTCGAAAGTGGTAGCTATCTTGCGTAAAACTATTCACCAATATTCATCTTCCCACTAAATATGAAGCAAATCCATCCACCAGTATTCGAGTTATCTTCCTGACAGATGGACTGACTGGCTGATGGACAGACAGAGGGCTTCACTATATCCCTACCAAACTTTGTTCGTTGAGATAAAAGGTCATCCCCAGTCAGATTCTTTATTGGATTTATCTTTCAGAATGATGTGATATCTTCCCTCTGGAGAAACCCAATACAAAAAAACCCTCCCTGGATATATAAGAACGTGTAATTCTACCTGCTGCTCCAAGCATATGGGGAGCATTAGGGAGCCCTCCAAGTTTCACTCCTCCACCTGCAGCCTGGGAACTGCCACCACCCTTAGCTAACAAAATAAACACCAACACCAAATATCTATTAAATCATTACATCAATCCAACATGTATACTTACTTATTACCATATTATTGTACACATTCAATAATACTGTTTATTATGCACCTCATTAAAATACTCAAATCTGATTGGTTAAGAGCTGCATTGCCATACGTGGCAGCAAGATCTCGTTCTATCCACTATTGAAGCAACGAGATCTCCAACCATCCCGCATACCTATCCTCCAAAAAAAATACTAGGCTCGGCTTCTGTTTTAGTAGACCCATTCTTTAAAATAAAGTACTTCTTGACAATTTAACCCCATCTGATATATATATGATTAATGATTAACCAAGGGAGGTGCATAATAAAATAAATACTGAATGGACATGATGTGGATATGCCAGAATACCTGTCCTCGAAAAAAATACCAGGCTCGGCTTCGCCTCGCTTAGTATTTTTTTCCTCAGATAGATATTCTGGCATATCCACCTCATGGTCATCCAGTATTTGTTTAATACATACAGGGTGACACAAAAAGCAACTCTTATTTTTGATTAACTTTCTCAGGTTTATAATAGTGAAATCTTAAATATTCTTTACAAATAAAAGGCTCAGTAAAACATGTGCTCAATCCTTTAACCCCTTGTATACTTATTTATCATCAAAGAATATAATATTTAGATGTATATGCAGACTCTTCAAATTGTTTGAAGCTAACTTTTTGCTTTTACAAACTCCATTACTGATATTATTATTATTATTTATCCAGAAAGATATTTTCTCCATTGATTCCAAGACAAAATTTGATGACAAAGAAAAAAATTAAAGCCTTTCCAGTTAAAAACTTTTATCAATCTATCAGTATACTGGTCTTCCTTTCACTGACTTATATACCTAAAGAAAAATTATAAAAAAATCTTAGTACCATAGTAAAAGTAAAAGAAAACTAAAGGAACCAGCGTCTATATTAATACTAAAAGCTTAATAAATAACTTACATTGCTGTAAAAATTGTGCAACAGTGCGACTGGTTGAGCTTGGTATCCAACCAGCAGGTGCTGCCCTCTGGCGATGGGATGCAAGAATTTTGTGACGTACTTCATCACCATTCCAAATAATATCATCTTCCCATTGAATCTGCAATGGTGTCACAATAAAAGTGCACATACGCTAGAGACAATGTATATAAGACCAATCAATTTAGATATACTTTAGAATTGAAAGTTCCAATCGGAAAGCACTATAGGATGTCAGAAAATGTTGAACCTGACCTGTGTAACCATGTGATATGCTTGGTCTGGGAATGTTATAGTCGGCTTCTCTTCTTCAACCTCAACCACCTCACCATTTTCATTTCTAGGCTCCTGCAACAGAAGTAAATGATAACTGGTCATCTCAATCCAAAGTCAGCTTAACCCAAAATAATTTTCAAGGAGTATTAAAGATTCACTGTCTCTTAGGTTTCTCCCTGGACAATCAGTGATGTCCATTATAAATGCTAACATAATTCCTTACATACTTTAAATACCAACTTATGGGCGCATTATTGTCAATATATTGAGAAAATCAACAGAACAAATTGTTCAACTGTCAAAATTGAACGAATTTAAGCTTTCCACCAACAAAGGGAATACACATCACGTTGCACAAGCATTGTTTCAGGGAATCTCCTGTTAATCTCATCTGTCATGTGACTTGAACCAAGGGAGTAAATCAGATTAAGAGTGGGTTTTAAATTTAATATTTCTGACCATCCAGTTATAAATCATTTCTGCATACAATCATGAAATTGATACCTTAGACGTAGGAGTAGGTATTTGACTATCAGTAAGAAGAACGGTGAACCTGTTTTACATCTCCTAATGCAAAATATCAAGGGGCACCCTAATAATGCTCCTATCAGACATTGGTTTATTATGATTCTGAATATTTCTAACAGATATGAATGGTAACATAAGAACTAACAGAAAGATTAAATTATTGTAAAGAACAGCATGCTCAAACCTAACAATGTATAATACATTTTATTGATTTTTAATTGATTAAATTTTTACAAAAAAGCATTGTGTAAATCTTATTTTACATTATTAATGATTTTAATGACAATATAGTCATCTTTTCTGACAATGTGTATTTTTACTAGAATGTTCCAGTTTTAATTTTTTTAACGAAGTTTTTCTTTAGTATTTTTAAAAATACATGTGTATTTATTTTATCTAAAGTTGTTGAGTTGACCAATGGTTGAGGTGACCTGGGTTGAGTTGACTTTGGGCTGAGCTGACAAGGAATCAAGTAAATAATCACAATCCATACATCTTTCGTAAAGCAGGAAGCAAATTGTCTTTATCCAAATGAAGCAACAGTTCAGTCATAGATCATTTCATTTTTATCATTTGAAAATGGCAGTATGTTGAAAAACAGGGACATAAACCACTATTTATCGTAATTATGATGCACATTTACAATAAAATAAAAGGAAACCAAAAAACTACTATATTTATGAACAGAGTGTGAAGTAGAAATGGCAAATTATTAGTTTAAACATAGTTTAAGAGCCACCAACCTGCTTGAGTTTAAATCCATATTGAAAATTTTCTCCTGACTCGTCTACTCCCATCATGTCATACCAGAGTTGTGCAGGTCCATAGCGCCAGGAAGAATACTTTGGGACATCCTCCACATTCGAACTTGACTCACCTGTCACTTTGCTCTCACCTTCAACTTCTGGTTTCATAAATTCAACCTAGAATTGTAAAAATATTAACTATTTTAAATATACACATGAATATCACAGTCAATACAAATCAATACAGTGAACAAAGTCAACAACCCTAACATATTCTCAAACACATGCAGATCCTGCCAGAAGATGATTCCTACCAGTTGGTCCTCCATGACTTCATGTGGCTTAGGTTCACGACCCATGTCCAATCTCCAGGGATCATAGAATGGGTCTTTCAGCTTCTCCTCTCTCCTCTTCTCATCCACCTCCAACTCTTCCTTACTCCTCTTCTTGTGCTGCTTCCAGATCTTGGGCAGGTAGGCTGTCTTGAACAGTTGGGAGAACCTTAGAACCTACAGATACGAAAACACAAGTGCATGAAGGGAAAACAAATGAAGAGTACTACAAAACATAGCAAGAAAAGGAAACATTTAGGAGCAAAAGGAACATAAGGCAAACACACAACAAGATCCCTTAGCTATGATCTGACAAACAAAGATAATGTCAAATAACTCCTCCCTCTCCCATGCATACGGAAATCAAACTATTCAAGTTAATTCAAATAATTACAAATAAATTAGACTTTTCCTTGTGAAGACTTGCATATCTGAACTTTGAGTCTATCTACTTCTAAGCATAGAACTGGAACTATTTATGGAAAACAAGACACAGAGTGAACAGAATGCCAACCTTGAATACAGTTTTCGGGACTAAAAATCCAAAATGACAACCCTAACATTTACCCAGACTGGCCAAAAAACTAATAAGTATTTAACTTAGAAACATTAAAACATCCCTGAAAATTTCAGATGAATCCATGAAATGGTTTGGCTGGAAACCTGTAGACAAGCCTTAACAGACAAGATTTTAGGACAGAAAATCCAAAATGGACACCTTAATATTCATCCAGGATGCCCTTAACATTTATCGAGAATGCCCAAAAACTAATCAGTTCTAGGCTTTCATAGAAACATCCCTGGATTTCAGTTGAATCCATGACACAGTTTGACTGGAAACTTGTAGACAAGATTTATCGGGACACCCACCCATTCAACAAAACGTCTGCCCAGCAACTTATCATAATTAGGGTGCGAAAAAAGTTATGCCTAAAATGTTCTTGACTGACCTTTCCCTTTCTGAACTCAGGGAATAGCTCTTGTACATCAACTTTCTTCAGTTCCTCAGGCAGCATATCCGCAAGTGGAGCTTTAAGGTTCTCTGTCTTAACATCATCAGTTGATGCCTGTTATACCACAAAAATACTAATTAACATAATACAAATAAGCATTTAGAATACAAAAACTTGCATACTAGTCCGGGCTGTTAAGTGGTCTCGTGGGAATTTTTTGTTACAGCTTGACAACATAGTGTACTTTATAGAGTTTGAGGTGCTGAATAAGAATTTTGATGTTGCCAAATCTGTAACATGAATGTTGTTGCTAGGGGCAACCATTTCCATAGCAACCACAAATTTTACCTTGCAACGGGCCTAAAAATACAAAAGTTGTTGTAGATTTTTTTAGTTATAATCATTTTTGATAATATTTATTGTGAAGTAAAGGGAAGTAATAGGGGAATTTGTTATGCAACACAATTTGGTTAACAATTGATTTTTGAGCTATTGTGATGTCATAATAGCCCAAATTTTGTTATTTTTCCTAATTTACATATAATTCCACATTACTATTACTTTTTTTACCTCTTCAAAATACCGAAAGTAGGTAAGCCATTTGCTACATTTGTTATTTCTGATGTGCTCTTTCCAGCGATGGCTTTGGATTTGCATAAAAATAAAACAATCTTGTTCTAGGAATGATTGAAACTAGGGTGGTATCTGAATAGAATGACGTTAATCTACCCTAATGACAAACCTACTTTTCGAAATATTTTGATTCTATGTATTTGCAGCTATATGCAAGAAATGTTTTCATTACTATTGCAATTTTTGTTTCAAAGTGGTTAATAAATATTTTATTGTGGTAAACAGGAGTTTCATGTTGCTGGGTATGATGTTGAGCACCATTGCTATGGAGACTATTTCCTTAGCAACCAGCCATGACCATGTCCTTTAAGCTTGATGTTGAGATTGAAAACTTTTACTAAAATAAAGTTATTGTTTACAATTTTTAAGGTACATGTTGACGACGATATCCAGTCAAACTAAAAAATATAAGTAATGACAGCATCTCAATTTTTTGTAATAAAACCCCATTATGATGTCATTATGGACCCGTACTTTGACAAACGCGCTTTCATCAATTGGTTAATAAGTGGTTTTATAATGCTAAGTCATTTTGATCAACTGAATAAAACATGCCTGGATGAACAGCAGTATAATAAATAATTTATATTATTAATATGTTTAATCAGGATAGATGGTTGGATATTATGTATGTTAAGGTTTTAACTTGTATTATTGTTGCCTAGCAACCACATGACAACAGGAAAAATTAAAGAATAACATGGATGGAGTTTCATTAATTGACTGGGCGATTGCTTAACATGATTCAGGAAGATTCCCATTGGAAAGACCATGTGACATCATGAATAGTGTGATTGACAACCTGGAAAGACAGGTAAATTTAATGATGGGTTCAGGAAACAGGGCATGTAAGTCATGGCCGTGATGCCACAAACACAATGTTGATATTAGAGAATCAGTAGTTTGCTCTGTAGCTCAAGTGGCAGAGCACTCGGCGTGTAATTGGGAGGTTGTGGATTCGATTCCCACCGAGATGGAATGTTTTTTCACACCAGCCCTTAGCATAGGATTTAATCCTATGTTTCAGATTTACTACTGAGCATGAAAATAAAAAAGATCAAAAATGGAAACGTTTTGTCCCATTGCATGCAGCACTCCTATTAAACCAAGGGGTAACAAGAGGAAAGCTTTAGCAGACATACCGAATTCAAATGATAATGTACACTGTGTAAGTATCTTTATAACTTTATAGTAATTCATTTGTCCATTTTCAAATTCATGATCTAATATACCATCAAAATCAGCACCATCAAAATCAGCATCATCAACAAAAGCAGGTTTTCTCCAACAACGTTACAGAATACGTGCTCCCATATGCCCATATTTCCTTATGTCACCCTTTTCTTCAAAGTATAAAGGCCCAATGCCAAAAGCTAGTATGTCTTTGCTGTATTTTTAATGACTTGTTTTGATAATCTAGTGGGGAAAATCCCTTTGGGGTGGCCAAAGGCTATGCCCAAATTTTCTGTAATTTTAATTTTATTTCAAAAGTCTGCTTGGAAAATCCCTTAGTGTGGCCGAAGGCTATGCCCAAATTTTCTGTAATTTTAATTTTATTTCAAAAGTCCGCTTGGAAAATCACTTAGTGTGGCCGAAGGCTATGCCAAATTTTGCTCTATCTATAATGGTTTATTTTGATGTTGTAATAAGAAGATCCATTCGGGTTTGCCTAAGGCTATATGTCAAATTTTTGTCTTATTGTTCATTTCAATTCTGTTTTGTATATTGTTATATTAGTCAATATTTAATTGTATACCTACAATTGGCCATAATGGCCAAACTGTTCTTGTGCATTTTCTCTTCTCCAAAATTCAAAACACTGCAATTTCCTAAAGATTCCCTTTACCTGTTTAAAAGAAGGAATGTCGTCATATGAACTGATACACTGTGTGTTTCTTACATGTATATTACGTAGAGTGTCTGAAACACTTTAAAAATCTTGAAAATCTGTCAGATCTCTTATAATCTATGAACATTGAAATAATTCAAATAAGAGTAAGAACCATGTTGATATATAATAATTTTCACCTTTCCTGCGATATTGCAATCTCATTAAAGTTTCATGCTAGTTTGTGCAATTTAATTTTTTTAGTTCAAATAAATAATTCTTACTTTTGATATTATTTTTAAGAGGTAAAAAAGTAATGTGATCTTGGTATTCTGACTGAATGCTGAATGTGAAAAATGCCCCAACTGACCGCTACTATTTTTCTTTTATTAGACTCCAGATGCAAATCTGGAGTCTGCATCTGGAGTCTATTGTTTTTGCTACTTTTCTTATTAGACTCCAGATGAAGTCCGGAGTCTATTGTTTTTGCTTCTTTTCTTGTTATTAGACTCCATTCTAGTTATTCTTAAACATAGCACGTTCTTTCAACAACCATAAGACATTCAGTAAAGACAATCATATGGTCAATTAAAGTACTATATCTAGTTCCTAGGAAATTTGTTCAATGTTTTATATAGGTCAATAACTAGGTCAAATCCAGTACTTTGTCACTTATTAAATTTTCATGGTCATCCTTCTATATTTTCACTCCGGTTTTTTTCATTGTGTTCCTCATAAAAAAGTAACATAATGTAGATTTGTAGCCGATTTCGAGATATCAGTGTCTGAAAACGAGGTCCGAAAAAAGTACTACTTCCAGTTTATGAGCTATGATCAATGTAATAAATGTATCAAATCAAAAAATCAAATCATATAATATCATATCAATCATATTGATCATATCATATCATATATCATATCAAATAATATCATATAACATATCATTATCATATTAAACCATATCATATAACATATTATATATCATATTATTTAATATCATATATCATCATATGATATGTCATATTGTATATCATATCGTATATCATATCATATATCATATCGTATATCATATCGTACATCATACTGTATATCATATCTTATCCTATTATATCATATCGATCATATCATATATCATATCATATAGCAAATCATATCATATCATATATTATATTAAATCATATCATATAACATATTATATATCATATCATTTAATATCATATAACATCATTTGATATATCATATCGTATATCATATCGTATATCATATTGTATATCATCTAATATATCATATCGTACATCATATCATATCAAATATCATATCAAATCATATCGTACATCATGGTGTATATCATATCATATATCATATAGTATATCATATCGTATATCATATCATATCAAATATCATATTAAATCATATCGTACATCATACTGTATATCATATCATATATCACATCCTATTATATCATATATCATATCATATAGTATAATATCATCTCATATTTCATATCATATATCATATCATACATCACCTATTTAAAACCTATCTATCTATCTAAAAACTAAAGACAATTTTAAAAAAATCAGTCATCTGGAGTCTGAAATTGAACTTTTTCCAATTTCTAGTTGTTATTTGAAATATTAGCTTCAAAATTAATGAACCATTAAACCATCTAAAGAACCATTTCAAATACCCTCTAAGAAATATGTATTGAAGACCCATCAGAACAAAGCAATCAAAGATCATGTACATGTTGTCCACCTAAAACACATGGTGATTCCTTTTCCCTTTTTTCAGGAAGGCCAATTAAATCATGTCAGACTCTGCATTTCCTGCCACTCTTCCAACATAGTCAAGAATCCAAATCCAAAATCATGTGACCTCTTCTATCAACGACTTAAAGTACGTGTACAACACGGAGATTCAAAATGCATTGAAATCAATGATAAACTGTCAAACCAAAGAGATAACGAGAACAAAAATGTGTCATGGTGCCGTGGCTGCTATAGTGAAGTAGTGAACATCAATAAACTAAAAAGATTTGAAGACAAGTACAACAAAAAACAAGAAAATCTAGCCAAAATATCAACCAGTCAACAGTCAGTGCCAGCACTTGAAACAAGTGCCAGTGTTTATCTGAGATCCTCAAATAAGACTAAAGCATGTATTTTTTGCTCAAAATCTGGGAAAAAGTTAAGAAGGGCTGGTGAAGATGTCAGGAAATATTTGACAAAAATTGCTAAGTCAAATTCAGAGCAAAAACATAGTATACCACCTTGCCTGTTATGTTCAACACCAAAGGTCAGTGTCCTCTCATAAAGGAGGCAAAGATGATGTCCAAAGAGCATTTTTGCAATCAGTTCGAAGTAAACTTGACCAAAGTAGTTCATCTGAGAACAGCATTGACATGTCCTCAGTTGAGGAAATATATTCCGATGAAATTCGGAAACATGGAATTGATGATATTCAACAACCTCACAGAAAAACAATAAAACTCTTGCTCAAGGGGAGTTTCAATGACATTGAATTCACTAGGCCAAAGCAGCTTAATAAATCAGAATTGGTGGTCCTCCCAAATTCCAACACACTGGATACAATTAAAGAGACAGCAGACATAGTTCGCATTGATATTTTACTATCGAGATCTGATTGGAAATTTCAATAGCAAAAAATCAGTAGTCAATAAAATGTTCTAACTTTCCATTAAACTTTAAAAATTACAATTAAAACTGAAAAAGTTTTACCAATGTCAGAATGAATTTCTATTTTTATGCCTCTTTCTGTGCTTACAGGTCTGGTTGCTATGGAAACCATTGCAACCAGAAACAGTTTTCCAATTACTGATGTGTCCATATCTGAATTTCTTAACCAAAGACATCATTGAAACAAATATAGTAAAATTAGCACAGTAACAAGCATTTACTTTGTTGAAATACAATTATTTTCATGGGATGAAAAGGAAAACTAAAATGTGAATTTATTTGAGTTTGAAAAAGAGCCCAATTCGAGCTATCATGAGTCATGACATCACAATGGCGAACAAATCGATTGTTTAAACGTAATTCCAAGTTTCCTTATTTTTCTTTAATTTCTAGTAATGAGCAGGAAAATGATAAAAACTCTACAATGTACTGCTTCCTCATGTATTTTATGTCTGTTTCTAAGCTAAAAGTACGATTTCTATGGACACTGTTGCCCCTAGCAACAACACTTAATTTACAGACTGCAACATCAACAACTCCAACTAAATAAAATGCACAACTGCCAATTTGAAACAAAACTTGCATAAGATGAGGAAACATTTCAAATAAAAATATATCATAAATTAGTAATTCAAAAAATTGTGAATGTTATGTTATTTAGATCTATGAAATTGCACTATTGTAGTGGCCCCCTAGTTTCAATCACCCCTGGAACAGAATGGTTTTATTTTCATGTAAAGTCAGTGCCATAGCTGGAAAGAGCACATCAAAATTAACAAATGTCCCAGACATTTACCTACTTTCGGTATTTTGAAGAGGTAAAAAAAGTAATTGTAATGTGGAATTATATGTAAATTAGGAAAAATAACAAAATTTGGGCTATTATGACATCACAATAGCTCAAAAATCAATTGTTAACCAAATTGTGTTGAATAACAAATTCCCCTATTACTTCCCTTTACTTCACAATAAATATTATCAAAAATGATTATAACTAAAAAAATCTACAACAACTTTTGTATTTTTAGGCCCGTTGCAAGGTAAAATTTGTGGTTGCTATGGAAATGGTTGCCCCTAGCAACAACATTCATGTTACAGATTTGGCAACATCAAAATTCTTATTCAGCACCTCAAACTCTATAAAGTACACTATGTTGCCAAGCTGTAACAAAAATTTCCCACGAGCCCACTTAACAGCCCGGACTATACTTAGTACATTGAAGAAAAACTTTTTAAATATACTATTTCACTTTTCTCTTACCTGAGAGTCTTGAGGGACCCAGTTTGGGGGAGGCATCAGGTCTGTGTCTTCCCCAGGGGCAGCATCATAATCATCATCATCTTGAAGAAAAACACACCAGTTTGATTATGGCAAGAAGTGGAGTTAACAAAAGTGAAAAGCAAATTATAATTGTGAGAAATTATGATACCAGACCTTAATATTAGAGCATTATCCTTATATTAAAACAAATAAAGATATTAGAAAAGACAACAAAGTATCACCTACTAGCAAAAGACATATCCTTATATTAGAGCATATAAAAATATTAGAAAAGACAACACAGTATCACCTACTAGCAAAAGACATATCCTTATATTAGAACATATAGAAATATTAGAAAAGACAACACAGTATCACCTAATAGCAAAAGACATATCCTTATATTAGAACATATAAAGATATTAAAAATATAATTCAGTACCACATACTAGATTTTATACAATATTGGAAGAAAACATAAAACTGTTGATGACTGCATCCTTTTCACCAAAAAGCCAAATTACTCCTCTTTGCAATGATTTAAAAATAAACATGTACATTTTGTAAACCTCAATGGGCATTGCCTCAAATCTAATAATAAAAACGTTTGTGACATGCCTATTTCTGAGACCAGAGAAAGTTGCATTGTTGCGCACGCAACAACTTCCCGCAACTTTCAGTACAGAGTGCAACTTTTACAAAACAGCACAACTTACCGCAACTTTAATACTTCAGCTCATTTTCCAGTCAATGATTGTAATTTCCTTGATAAGACCACTCAAAATCAGAATTAAATTTTTTTGAAAGATCTTTTTGTCTTACCAAGAACTGGTCGTTTTATTCTGGTTTTACAACATCACTTTTGTAATTTACGACATAAAACATATCTATTTACATTATCAGGTAATATTGAAAATCCTCTAAGTAATAAACTTACCTGTCTACACGAAATCTACATGCTACAATCTTGTAGATTAATGGACATGAATATGAAGCGATTTGTGGTGACTGTTAATGGGAGAGCCTCAAAAGTTACGTACAGTAAAACCTGTCTAATCCGAACACCCATGGGACCAGCCAAAAGCGTTCAAATTGGCAGGTGTTCAAATTTCGAGGATTTTGTTGGTCGGGGGGGGATTTTCATCATTCAGTGCTGTATATTGAACACTTAATACCAAGTCAGAAAACAATACATGTTGTTGATGAGTTAATTCTACAATAGGCCTATAGCCTGCTATGTTTTATTTATATTTTGAACAATTTCATCATTTTAGTAAAAATAACTCTTATGTTTTGGCAAAAACTTTGTAATACACTGTAAAAGTATATGATAGTCTCCTACTTTTGCTTGAAAAAGTCCTTCATTGTTGTTTGTTTCTTGGCACTTTTAGCATTAGCAATATTTGAGTAGATATCCTCTTCAAGTCAAAATAATTTTTCATGAGTGTTCATTCGAGATGATGTATAATCCTTCAAAATATCAAGGGCATTCAGGATGTCAGATGTATGCGAATATTACGAAGTTGGATTTTTTCTCCTTCTCGTGATATAATCGTGTCTGCAAATGGCGTCTGTGTTGTCTTTGTGATTATAAAACATTTACTGATTGAATCTTAGCTATCATAACAGACCCATGGGATATAAAACAGTTAAGTTATTGTTCATAATCCAAATCAAAAACATCCAGTTAATTTACAATAAGGATAAACCAATTATCTCCCAGACTCTCACCTTTCTCTTAATCCAAATCAAAAACATCCAGGTAATTTCCAATAATGATAAATCAATTATCTTCTTGATTCACACCTTTCTCTTAATCCAAAAATAAAACATTCAGTTCTTTTCTAATAGGATAAACCAATAACTCCTGTATTCACACCTTTCCAAAACATCCTGTTGTTTTCCACAAATTAGGGATGTCACTGAGACTAAATAAGTTAATTAGCACAATTGGTTCTTTGATTGCATTTGTATATATGTAAAGATAAATAACAACTATAACATTGACTCAATATGTGGCTTTAATTGATATGTCCAGACTTTGATTTCTGATAAAAATGTTCAGATTAGACAGGTCACTTTTTCAAATCTGGTTGTTCACTGTTCAAATTAGGAGGTGTTCAGATTTCAAGGTTTTTTTAACATGGGAGTCAATGGGAGGAAAAAATGGGACCGAAAAAAAGTGTTCAAATTAGAAGGTGTTCAGATTAGCCAGGTGTTCAGATATACAGGTTTTACTGTATTGGAGTCTCAAAACTCATTGTCTTAAAAATGGACAGCCTTAATTGAAGATTTTTGAAAGATAGCAAATGTGTGTTTATATGTAAGCATCTAAATCATTGTGTCTAAGTTTACAAAGTTTCAAATCTTCTCACTAGATGGTGGTGGCTGCATTGTTGCCATGGTAGCAGAATATTGTGGGACATCTTCAGCCACTTCTTTGATATCAGAATAGTCAACAGCTGATTCTGCCTTGACATCCGTATCATCTGAAAACATGTCCACAAAATACACTTTAACTAGCAACACTAATAATAAAAAGACTAATGGTTGTGGAGCTCCAAGGAAACATTTTGTAAATGTCAATCATTTTGTAACAATGAAATCTTGTTGAAATATTTGTTTATATTACTGACTAAACCTATAAACTTGAGACAGCTGTAAAAATTAATGCAACTAGACCTTTCTGATAAGCCCTGTCACCTTTTTGGTACTTCCAAGAAGCCAAGATAAATTGGCTATATTGCTGCATGATGTCATGTTGTACTTTTTAAAATTAGCTAATGCAGTAGGACTAAGTTTATTCTAATTTTGATTGGACAAAGTGACCTACATCCTATGACATCATCAATCTAGCCAGCATATATTATAGCTTCTTCGATATGCCAAAAGGTAGTTTATTTAAAGGAAAGGTTTATTGCTGCAATACTTTTAGATTTGTAGGCAAACTTTTATCAAATGTCCCCAATATTGTTTCTCGCCTAGAAACAGACCTAACTATCAAAAGAGCAAATCAATGCAATCTTTTCTTCAAGCAAATCAATAGAATACTTTTCAACAAAGAGATTTTTTACATCAAAAGTGTTGCCATTTCTGAAAATATTGAGCAAATAAAGTAGGTTCCATTTACATTACGTAGGAATCTCATTGCAAAAGGTCACATGGTTCATAGATACCTTGACTTTGATCTGTGAGGTCCTCATTCTCTTTAATTTCTTGGACCAGTGTTCCAAGTCCTCCTAAGCTATTAAGTCCTCCAAGGTGTCTCTTGCTCTCCTGTGAATTAAACAATGTTTGAACGAAAATGTTACAAATGTAATTATGACGTGACTTTGGGACAATACGAGGAAATGTCACCTTAAAGTGTTACTCCCTGCCTTATTATCCCATCGAACAAAGTTCGGAGAGATACAGGGAACGCCTCCGCCACTGTTAGCTCGATTTTGTTCATATTTTGTACACACATACCCTATGGGGGTAGAAGTTCCGCTCGAAAGTCGATTTTCAAATTGACCACTTATTTGAAAATGGCGGCCATTTTAGTGCCGATTTTACAGTAATTTAGGTAAAATACGTAATACTGTATTAGCAATATGTTTTAAATGTAAAAAAATTATATAGGACATTAATAAATCTAGAAATGTAGATATCAAAGAAGCACATGGCAGCCATCTTGAAAAACAGCGGCCTTTACTCATTATTTTACAATTTTTGCTGTAACTCGAAAAGTAGTGAGAGTGATTTTGATAATGACACACAGTCTAATGACACTTTTGGTCGAAGGCAGCCATTTTGAGCCACTTTTTCACTGTAACCCGAAAAGTAGAGGAGCGATTTTGTTCATATTTGGTATGTGAATACTATAAGCATGGCACACTGTCTAATGCTTGCCCTAACCAGCTTTTACCAGTAGAGGGGGAGCTTTTTTCCAGGGGGGAGCTTTTTCACAATTTTGGCTAAAATCATGCGAAAAATTCTCAGAATGGTGAAAAACTGCATGATTTTGAAAGAATATCTGGCCAGGCCAGTTCCCCCTCTGGCTACGGGCATGTAATGACACTTTTGGGAGAAGGGGGTCATTTTTCAAAATGGCCGCCATTTTAACGTATTTTAATATAAGAGCGATTTTATTCATATTTGGTATGTCACGGCTGTCTGATGACACTTTTGGTAGAAGGCGTCCATTTTGAAAAATGGCTGCCATTTTAACACATTTTACTATAACTCGAAAAGTAGTAGAGTGATTTTGTTCACATTTGGTATGTGAAAACTATAAGGATGGCACACTGTCTAATGACACTTTTCATAGAAGGTGGCCATTTTGAAAAATGGCTGCCATTTTTGCTATTTACTTTGTTTGTAAAAATGCCAGCCATGGCTGTTCGGTGGGATTTGCTTCGCTTTGGCGTTGCTGTTGTCTAGTTATAAAAGTTAACCTTGTGTTTCATATATCATTTTAAAGTATTTTTATGCACAATTCGGTGATACTATTTTCCCCAAAAAAGTTTGATGTGATCTACTTCATTAATACGGTTAAATATATCCTGACATCAAATACGCTAAGACATAACACTTTACGCTGCACTGTTAGTTAAAATATAGAGAACTTTTAAAATAATTATCAGAACACCATTCAATTTTCACAATTTGTCCAATGGACCATGTGCATTCAAATTTTCTTATATGGACGCTTTATTAAACTTTTAAAACTTGTGTAAGGTTTTGAAGGCGAAGGGGATGAGTGATAGGTCTACCTTTATTTAACCTTCTAAATTAAGTCTGAGTTGAATAAAAAATTAACTGCACAATATTGCCCTTGCCAAATTCACAAAACAATAACCAGTTCATAGATTTTACAAATAATATTAGGATAAGAGCTGATTTACGAGACTTGATAAAATGTAATGCATCCATTTTTACCTCAAATTCCATGCATATCATTTTTACTAAAGCTTCAAGTTTTCCTGATGGTTTTTCAAAATTCAAAACATTTTAGAAATATTGTCCTCGAGATCTTGCTACTCTGTGAATTTTATCAGGATTGAATAAGGATAAAGTATTTTATATTTAGGTCGACCAAACTTAAAAAATGTAAAGCTCGTCTTTTTTGATGTTACTCTATAACTGCTCATAGTTTTCTTTAGGTATTTTGATGGCATAATGTTACGCTAATTGTCCCCAGTTTTGTGCGGCGTGTAAATGCAAATTGAGCATCCCTGGTTTAAGATATGTAACAAAATATGAAATGAATGAAAAATAAACAAGATGGAGTTCTACTATCAATAAAATGTAACATGATCATTTGAAATCTTAGATTCTCAACATTGTGAATAATGTAATGCTCACAGAAAGATACTTCGATAACAATTGTAGTACCGGGTGTCTCAAAAAAAGGAAACCGAGATTAAATTGCTTATTCAATAATAATGTTTGGGAAAAATTCACATGTATTATCATTTGCGGCATTATGTCTTCTTTCATATGATACCAAGATGTTTTATTTTCCTCCACAGATGATTGAGCAATGAGGGATTTAAGTGACCATTCAGAAATGGGTTTGTGCCATGTTCAGCCAAGTCAATTTCGCAATCATAACATAGTGATAAGTAACAACAAACATCAGGTTACTACTCTTTTACTAATTTGTCCCAATTCAAGTTACTGATATCATATTTAACGACCCTTTTGAATCCTGATGTCCATTCAAAGTTGTTTTAGCCCAAGTATCCTTCAACATGACTCCCATTCCTCTCAATGCAAATGTCTGCCCTAGATCTCATTGCACGTACTGTATCCCCGATGATGTCTCTCTGTCCCCTAACATCCTCCACTGCTGCAACAATCCTGGTCCTTAGATAATAACCCACTTCCTTCTTTTTGAGTTACAGTAAAAAATGTTAAACTACACACGTAAAAATGGCGGCCATTTTTCGAAATGGCCCCATACTACCCAAAATTTTATTAGACATTGTGCCATGCTTAAAATATTCACATACCTAATATGAACAAAATCACTCCATTTCTTTTCCAGTTACAGCAAAAATCGTAAAATGACGTGCAAAGGCAACCATTTTTCAAGATGGCTGCCATGTATTTCTTCTATATTTACATTTCTAGCTTAAAGAGAGAATCAGAGATAGCGAGCAGGCCAAACAAAAAATTGTTTCAATTTTAGAATATTTTTGGCTCATGTTATTCCTTGTCATGTCTATTTTCTAAAAATCACAAAAGTGCATACTTTGTTCGAGGAAAACAAACGATTTTTACAATAATATACATGTATTATTTTTCTATAAGAATGGTTACCATTCTTATTATTTGGGAGAATTTGAACATTTTTCACCCATTTTTGCACTTTGAATCATTAATAACTTCACCAATTTACAACATATTATGAATCTTTTGGGAGATATTATATTTGATATTGTATGGAATAGATTGGTAGGTCAATTATGCACGTTGCTTGTATCTTTGTCACCCCCTATAGATCTGATTCTGCCTTTAATCAATGTTCTATATAGCTTTTTTACATTTAAAACATATTGCTATTACAGTTTGATATGCAGAACCTACATTACTGAAAAAATCGGCCATTTTTAAATCGGTTTTAGAGCAGAACTTCTACCCCCATTGGGTATATGTGTACAAAATATGAATAAAATCGGGCCAACGGTATTAGAATTATTGCCCGGACAGATGGAGAGACATAAGTATGTACGGACGGACAGAGGCATTCCCTATATCCCTCCGAACTTCGTTCGATGGGATAATTAATCAATAATATAATTAATTCCAAAGGAGCACTAAACACAATCTTAACAAGGCAGTGTTCTCCCCAGGATTTTCTCCCAACTGGGTGCAAAATTTTGTCGCCCTAAAAATTCATGGCACGCTTCGCTCGTGTTTTTCTAATTATAAACCTGCTAACTTAATCAATATTGCTCTTCATAAGCCATTAAACTATAACCATTAATAAAATAGCAATACAGGGTGCTTAAAATCAATTTCTCTGTTGCCATTTTTGTTTGGGCTTAAAATTGGTCCTGTCAAACTTTATTCTGAGTAACAACAGTTCATCACTATAAAATCCCTCTAAACTAGACGCCAAACTAGACCCCTTTTTTTCCACTTTCCAAAGAAGATCAAGGTTGCTCACTTTATAATTTTATTTGAGCCCAGAGTCCAGGGCTACAGTAGTCTTAGAGGGGGGAGCCGGGAGGTCTAGGTACCTTGCCCCTCTCGTAAAGTTTTTGGGAAAATTGCAACCTTCATGGATTCATTTTCAGGGATTCTTGTTATTGGCAGTTATTTGGGAGAAACATTGAACTGAGAAGCAGTTTATGCATGTATTACACTTGAAATGTATTTTTCAGTTGAAATTGTTGTATTGTCTGCAGCACTTGAGATGTCCTCGGAGAGGTTAGACAGCCCTTCAGTTTCACACTACCCTACCTCGATCGCGAATGCGCGAGATTTTTGGCTTTCAACCAGATCGCTTTTGAGTATATCCACTGCTTAGTCAACAGGTTAATACATTTGGTGCTTGGAGTGAGTCAATATTGCTTTTCGCTGAACTTCAATGGTGCAATTGTGTAGTCCATGTTCAAAGTTATATGATGGTTGAAGAAAGAATATATGATATCGTTTAAAATGTTTAAAGATTTGATACGTCATAGTACATGGTACAAAGTTGCAAAGGTTGATCAATACAGGGTGCAAAGAATGTAAATTGTTCAATAGAGAAAGTAAACTGATTATACAGAATGATTAGCTGGTTTTATTCAAAAACCAATTCTGAGATAGTCAATAATATACAATTGTGTGATAGTATATTTTTGAACCACTAAATGTAATTGATCTAATCTTTATTTTCAGACGAGTATAATAACAACGTACATGTGCCAATGATTATTTCTATTTTCTAATGCGCTTGATATCCTAATCCAGTGGTACATGGAGCCATATTTCACATTCAAAACCAGAGTATAATGAATAATAGAAGGAATGATATGTTTCATTACATGAGTACATTGATGCACGGATGCATTCAAGGGGCGTCATTAGAATATTTTAAATGCTGTTTATATGTAGATGCTTGCCTAAAACTGTAAAATAACTATTTATGCGAAATATGACATATGTTTGTATCATGTTTATCGCGTAATCGTTACCGCTGCCATTTTGAATGTTGACTTAGACATAGTATTGTACAATTAGTGTATTTGAAGGAAGTGGATTCATAATACTATAATAACTATGCTTAACCCATACTTTTA